GGCCGAGGGGCCGAGCGGCCGAGGGGCGGCCGACGGGCCTGGGGCGACCAGTGCAACTGATGGACAAGCGAAAACAAACCAACACAACCAAAACCAGCCTGGGAACGGGCCAGCCGACCCGAGCCTGGGGCGACTAGCGCAACCGATGGACACACGAAAATAAGCCAAAACGACCAACACCAGCCTGGGAACGGGCCAGCCGAGGGGCCGAGCGGCCGAGAGGCGGTCGTCGAGCCTGGGGCGACCAATGCAAACAATGGACAAGCGGAAACAAGCCAAAACAACCAAAACCAGCCTGGGAATGGGCCAGCCGAGGGGCCGAGCGACTGAGGGGCGGCCGACCAGCCTGGGGCGACCAGCGCAAGCGATGGACGAGCGAAATCAAACCAAAACAACCAAACCTAGGGCCAGCCGAGGGGCCGAGCGGCCGAAGGGCGGCCGACGAGCCTGGGGCGACCACTGCAACCGATGGACAAGCGAAAACAAGCCAAGACAACCAAAACCAGCCTGGGGAAGGGCCAGCCGAAGGGGCCGAGCGACCGAGGGGCGGCCGACGAGCCTGGGGCAACCAGCGCAAACGACGGTCAAGCGAAAGCAAACCAAAACAACCAAAACTAGGCAGGGGACGGGCCGCCCGAGGGGCCGAGCGACCGAGGGGCGGCCGACGGGGCGACCAGTGCGACCGATGGACAAGCGAAAACAAACCAAAACAACCAAAACCAGCCGGGGAACGGGCCCCACGGGCCACCCGTGACCGAGGGGCGGCCAACGAGCCCAAAACAACCGACGGGAAAACGAAAACAAACCCAAACAACCAAAACCGGCCAGGCAAGCAAAAACAACCGACGGACAAACGAAAACCACCAGAAACAATCGACGTCTTCCAGGGAAGTAACACCAAAGCCTAAAAGTAGATTAGGTTTGCGCCCGCCCCCAAAAAACATTCCAAACTAGCCGTTCTTGAACTAGGAAGGCGCGTAACGTAGATTGGGAGCTGGGTCCAAACGTACCGACTTCCAACGACCAATGGGTACTCGAGGGGGTCTGGGGGCGCCTGGTATCCTCGAGACCCTCTCGGACCCCATCCCCTGCATCCGGGCAGAAATCGCACTGCGCAGCCCCTGCGCCGCCCCCTTGGCACGAGTCCCGCCCAAAGAGCCTGGGTCGCGGCAGCAGCGCACAGCCAACCCGTCTCTAATCGGAGCGCACAGAACATCCAAGGGTACCTTCCCCGGGATGCACTAGAGCGTCAAACAAGCACGACGATGATTAGGAGTCCCTTCCCGAAGCGACCTCGTTTTTATACCTCGGTCCGACCGTGGGGGCAGATCCGCTAAACATCGATTATGCACCCCTTCTGGGGTCCACCTGGTGCAGTTCCTCACCGGACGGCTCCGGGGACCGGAAACGGCCCCTGCTGGACCAAAGAGGGCAGAAAACCTCTTCGAACCTGGAGCATCGAACCTGCCTCCCTCTTCCTCCCCTCCTCGCAGGCACCACTGCTGGGCCACCTCAGACCCAGAGATCCGACGTCGCGATTTTTCCTTACGGGGCCCCCGGAGAGCTCGACCCATTCCCCGGGACCGACCTTGCATCCTGAACCATTACTTGACGGCCCCGAGGCTCGGCGAGGGCCCCAGGGGCCGGAAATGTCGAACACCTACCACCATGATTCCTTCGTTGCTCGAGGGGGTCTGGGAGCGAGGCTTCGCCCGCAGCACCCGGATCTCGTCCTGCGCCCGCTGGGCCTCCCCCCGCAGCTGGCGCAGCTCCCGCCGCGTGGCCTCGTGCTCGGTCACCGCCCGTTCGAGGTCGCGCCGGGCCGCCGCCTCGGCCTCCCCGAGGGCGGCGGAGAAGCCCCGCAGCTTCGCCTCGTTCTCGCTCCTAGACGCGCTCCCTGCACAGACATACCACCTCCTCCTCCTCCTCCTCCTCCTCCTCCTCGTTTTCCTCCTCCTCCTCCTCCTCCTCCTCTTCCTCCTCCTCCTCCTCCTCCTCCTCCTCCGCCCCCTCGCCCTCGCCTCCGCCTCCGCCTCCGCCTCCTCCTCCTCCTCCTCCTGTTCCTCCTCCCCCTCCTCGTGCGGCACTGCGGGAATAGCGGCTTGTCCGCCGCAGCCCGCGCCGCGCCGCCGCGCGCGGCGCGACGCGCGACCTCCCTCCACGGACAACCTGGGGAGGGGCCTCAAACGGCCTCTGGGTCCCAGGGCCACCCACCACACGGACGGAGAGATGCCTCAAGGGGCGTCGGAAAGAAGGATCGCGGGAGCCCCGAAAGCCCAAGTCCGAAAGGGCGACGGAACAGCGCGAGGACAGAGCGAGGTCGAGGGCCTCCTGGACCGAAGGAAGGAAGGCGGAACCGAGGGCCGGAAGCGAGGTCGAAGCGAGAGGGAGGGGCCTCCTGGGCGAACGAGGATGAGGGCGACCGAAGCCGAAGCCTCTGGGGTCGTCAGGGGTCATCAGGCTAGCGGCCGCCGCGCCCGACGTTACTCGCGGGCGTTCGCCTCCCTCCCCTCGCCCCGCGAGGGGGCGTTCATGATGATGTGGTTCAGCCTCGTATGGGCGCTCTGCTCGACCGCGCGGGGGTAGCTCCAGTGCTTGGTCGTATGCCCCTGTTACGGGCGGGTTTGGTCATCAGCATCCTGTGTTCATCATAGTTGCTGTGGTAGTGCCATTATTGTGTTTGGCGCGACGCGTCCGCAGCACGCTGGATGGTTGGCGTGTCTCCATCGTTCAGGACGGCCGTGAAACTGTCGCTGACCTTCGCGTGCGGGTGCCTTCTGAGCACCTGGTATTTGTTTATATTCAGGTATCGGATCATCTTGTCAAGGACGATGTCGGGTGTTGCAGCCTCCAGCGTGGTGAACATAGCCGTGCTTGTTTTGTAAATTGTGTGGTTGTCGCGAGTGATGTTGCGTAGCTCTTGTGTGGTGAGTTGCTGGTGTCCCCATGGCTGGTTCGGTGTGCGGCATCGGTTGTCGGCTTGGAACGACTCGAGGTTGGTATTGACGAAGTGGAGAGCAACGCGCCCATTCGCCATGTGCGCGCGAGCACGTTTGTGCATGCCGTCGAAGGCCTCGCTGTCTGGTCGGATGATATGAATCTCGATGCTGGTGTCTTGAAGGGTCACGTGCTGCTGGATGATGCCAAGGAGTTCGTGTGTGGTGGTGATGCAAGCGGTCGTGATAAACATGATTATTGGTGGTGTCCTGTTGCATGTGTTCGTCGCGGTGCATGGCTCGTCGCGGTGGTGGCTGGTGTCCCGGCGGCCGCCTCGTGGGATCCGCGCCGGAACCGGGGCGCTGGAGTCGGGGTCGTTGGTGATGGGCCCGATCGGCGGTCCGTGAAGCTGAAGTGGCGGTTGCTCAGCGAAATCTTCAAGGAGTCCAGCATGCCGACTGTTGCGTCTGATGCGCCTTACTTCCGCTTTGTTGGCTTCCACCTCATCGGGCTTGGCTCTGGAACTGCCGGCACGCCAAGAGGCCGAACGAGTGGCTGACGCTTTGACGTGCTTGATGAGCCTGTTGGCGGCGCGGTAGTACTTCAGGTAGATCTGGCAGGTCTCGCCGGTGACGATATTGCTGATGTCGTTGTCGCTCTTGCGGTGCGTGTGCACGCGCTTGTTGTGGGCTGCTTTGTTCTTGAAGGCCCCCCCGCAGTGGTAGCGCATATATGGTTCCTGGTCGAGCTCTTCACGCGCGTCGCCACCCTGGCGCGGCGGCGGTAGTAGCCCAAGTGATGCCCGCCAAGTGTCGCGTCTGGTCTGCTCCATTTGCTGGTCGTTCGAGCGTCTGTAGGCGTGGGGCAGGGTGGACTTGAGGTAGCTGAGGTCGTTCCTGGCCATGCCGTTGGGCTCCGCTATGGCTTTGGGTGCTTGTTTTGCCGGCTGTAGTCGCAGTGGCTGCGGCAGTGTTGGAGGCCATTGTTGATGGCTGCCGTGCAAGCCCCTCTTCGTTTTATATCGTAGTCTGCTAGCGCTTGTACTTATGGTGGGCATTGGCATGCAATTCGTATCTCTTGTCGTACTCGAAGTCGTCATCGCCGCTCTTGTAGTGTCGGAAGTCCAGCTTTCTCGAGAATCTGATCGTTGGTGATACGTTTGGTGCGCATCTGGTCGTGGGTGATTCCGATGGCCTGTCTGGCTGTGGATGCGCATGTTGAAATCAGTCGGTTCGCGTCGCGTTGCTTGCTGATGACCCAGGCGCCTGCGTTGAAGAGAAGCTTCGAGTATCCGAGCGCCTCGAGGTAGTGCATCTTGGCTTTGGTGGTAACTGCGCGTCTTTAGAATAACGTCTTCTGAAAAAAGGTCCCGTTGTCTGCCGAAGTGCGATGGTTTGCGCTGCTATTTCTTGCCCGGGGTCGTTCCTGTCGTTGAACATTGCTCCAAGTAGCTTGGTACTCCGGGTGATGGTGACCGTGAATCATATGTCGGAGATGCTGCGGCCTTCTTGGATCATGGCGCGCGCAACGCACTTTCCCACGACGGTGTTGTGGTAGACGATGAATATTTGACTTGTCCGCGTTAATGGGCAGGCCTCTGCTCGAGGTAGATCGGATCAGGTGCCCCCGCATGGTTGCGATGAGGTCATGGATGTCTTCGCCGTTGTTGGTCATCGCTGCCGCCTTGACGTCGTCGACAAAAGAAGTCGACGATAAGTATTGGTCGCTATCGCGCGGTTGAAAGTGCCAAGGCGCTGAAGGCATCGGTGCGACGGCGCCATCCTGCGCAGCGAGTAGGTGATATTCGCGAGTGGCGTCAGCCATGAACGCGTTGAAGGGGAAGTCCGCGGTAGGCACTCCTGGCCTTGCCCCCGGCCTGGGGGCAGCGCAGGCGGCGTCCTGGTGCGCGAAAAACCACGTCTGTTTGTAAACTGCGATGGGCATCTGGAGGACGTGCTGGTTGTCCACGTGCCTGTTGACGATTCCGTTGTCGGTCATCAACATGGCGATGGCTGGGACCCTTGTTTCGGGGGCGCCGACGTGGTCGAGGATGACGCTGATCTGTTCTTCGCTTGGTTCCACGTTGTAGACGAGCTGGCCCCATGTGGAAGGCAGCCTCGAGGTCGGTCATGGAGATGACAGAGTCGCGCTGGAGCGATTTGGTTGTGTCGAAAAGCAGCCTCGTGGTGATATGGTTGAAGTCGGCACTGCAGCGCTGCCTGCCGCCCGTCTGCATGGAAAACATCATGCCAGGAATGAAATCGTTCGCGCGCTGCCTGACGTAGCGGTAGTGGTGCTTGATGACAGCGTTGGCAAGCGCGATTGATCGTTAGCTTTTGAGTGCCTCCCCTGCTCCCTTGCCCTTCCAAAAGTAGGTCATCTGTGATCCTTTGTGGGTGATCTTTTCCGCGCAATAGAGCGCGGCCTCGGCGATGACGGGACGCGTGTGTCGAGCTACTTCTCGAGGCGCGGCCTTCGCCAGATCGTCGTTGATGCAATCGGGCCCAGGAGCGCGGTGAGGCTTGGCTTTCGCTAGGATGTCCTGAAGCTCGTAGATGCTGGTATAGTTGTCTATGTGATTGCTGATGTTGCTGGTGTCGGGCTGGCGGGCGTGATTGCATCGGTCGATCACCTTCTGCTGCGTCATGATCCCCGCCGCCTCGTTGCTGCCAAGGTGATTTGTGGCTTATGTGGCTTTACTTGCCGCTCTGTCTAGAGCGTCGCCGTCCGCGGAGGTCACCATGGGGCATGCGCGCTTTCTCTGTCTTGTCCTCCCGCCGAAAATGAATAGCTTCTTGGTGTACTTCCACTCAGAGAAGGAGTCGCCTTGTTCGTTGGCCAACATGGCTAGTTGCGCCTGCTCTTCCAAGAAGTGGTCGTAGTCTCTGTCGATCGTGCTGACGATGCACCTTCGAGACGCAAGGGTCCACTGCTGTGCGATGTTGAGGAATGTCGCGTGGTCGAGGTGACCGTCGGTGTAGTGCGCGAAGTCGAGGAACTGGTACGTCTCGCCATACGCCTGCTGGATGGCTTCGGCTGTCATGCGCAGGGCGGGGTTGTCCTTGATCAGCCGGCTGTAGTGGCCCTCCATCGGTCGCCTTCCGGATGTACTTCATGAGCGTCATCCTGCACAGTACGAATGCGAGCGTATCTTGAGTGACGTAGTCTTGCCATGTGTTGTGCGCTTGTAGAGCGAAGAATCTTTGGGCGGCCTCCATGATGGTCAGCATGTGGTAGTTGACGTGCTCGTCGTAGTTCATATCCCACGCTGGTAAAGCAATCGGATTGAGCTCGTTCTTGAACTTGCCGATGGCCTCCTGATACTTCAGCTGGTTCCTGTCGACCTTCGGAAAGAGCTGCTTGGGCGCCGCGTGCTTGTTCCAAGTAGCCGTTGCCGAGACGGGCGTGTGGTCCCCCCGCTGCTGGTCATGCTTCTTTTGCTTCTTCATGGTCTCAAAGTTGCTGATGGTGCGGACGTCAATGATCTTGGGCGCGAGGTGCTCGTTGGTCAGAATGGAATCCAATATGTGCTTGTTGCCGCGTCCGTCTCGCCAGGTGTGGTGCTCCTTGCCTTTGGGAGATTCTGGTGTTTATGATCGTGTACCTTCCGTCCGCAGCCGTCTCGTGAAGCTTCTTGCCGTTGTCGTCCTCCTTCTGCGGAAGGCCCTCATTTCCAACCCATTGTGTCCGTACTTCTCCGACACGTCCGCTGGCGTCGGTCAGAATGACGTCGTGCTTGTGCTTGCGGATGTGTCTGTTGAGAGCGTCCCACTATCTGTTCTTGTCCTCGTCTCTCTTCTTATTGTGGGGAGTGGCTGACGCAAATGGTGATGTTCACGGTGCCAGCCTCGACTTTCACGATCAAGAATCGCGGTTCGCTGACTAAGACGTGGAACTGACTTGGCAGAAAGTATTGTGGTTCAGCCTTGCCGTGTGCGGGGGGCTCGCCGAGGTTGATCCAGAACTCGCACCCTGCGTAGTAGTTCTCATGAGGGCTGCTGATGACGTAGAAGCCGTTGCTCGTGGATACCTTCCGCTCGTTGCGCGCCTCCTGAATACCGATGACGTGGAGCTTGTGGTAGCGAAGCTGTTGTCTTAGTACTGTCCCTCGCTATTGGCGTGCGATCCGTGTTGCTCGCGTGTGCTTATTATTGTGCTTGTCGTCGGTTTCCCTCACGCTCTCCGCGTTGTACGTCGCAAAGTTCAATGTCACCGTCGTGTCAGTGGCGCGGGGGGCCATAATGTGGTGTGGTTCTGCCTCTTCCGGTGGTACTCCAACTCGAAGGTGACTTTCCGCTCTTGTCGGGTAGGCCGCTCGATCAGGATGCTCGGGCTGCAGGATCGCTTCCCATTGAAAGAATTTGGACTCCCTGGCGATAGCCTTGAAGTCGTACGGAATGTGCTCGTAGTCCTTTCCGTCGTCGTATTGTTTTTTTTTTTTTTGAGATTCCGTCGGCCAGCTCGTTCCATGGCATGCCTTCGTGGGTGGGTACGTGTACCATAGAAACTTGAACTTCTGCGCGCGCCGTGTCGTACAAGATTTCCTCCTCCTCCGCCTCCTCCTCCGCCTCCGCCTCCGCCTCCGCCTCCGCCTCCTCCTCCTCCTCCTCCTCCTCCTCCTCCTCCTCCTCCTCCTCCTCCTCCTCCTCATTGGGGGTCCTTACCTTGCGCCATGTTCAATCCTTGGGGGCCCTTACTGGGCCACGCGTGACCGTCAAAAAACAACTCGGGCCGAAACACCGGTCCTGGGGAACGGGCCGAGACCCCTGGGGGTCGAAGTCACGCAAAAATCATGCCGTCGGGGGGCTGGGCATGGCCGATTCCGGAAGCCCTGAACCCAAAAACGCTTCCCGCCTCCATCGGCGCCGCCCTCTGCCCCCGCCTTCCGCCGGCGCGGGCGGCCTCAGTTTGCTTCCGCGGGCCTTCCGCCGCCCTTTCGCCGCCTTCCGCGGCGGACGAGGTGACAAGCCCCCCGATCCTCGAAGCCCAGACCCCCTCGGGCAGTGACAGAAAATCATGGCGGGAGGTTTTTCCATAATTTCGGCCCCTGGGGGCCTTCTCGCCGGGCCCCCCCGGACCGTCAAAACACGACGCAGGATGGAAAGCCGGTCCAGGGGAATGGGTCGAGACCCTTGAGGGTCGACGCGATGACAAAAATCATGACGTCGGGGGCCTGGGAGGCGAGGCCATGTCTGGACTGCCTCACGAGCTCGCGTCGTGCAGAGAAGAAATCCGCCGTTGGGTTTCCGGCCATGCTCGGCTTGCGGGCCGCCCCCTGCTGAGGCACGGGCGACAGCGGATTGGTCTTACGCGGTGAGATGGCATGGCGACCCGAGGTTAAGTCGGGCCTGTCCCTCTACAGGGAGGATATTCAAAGTTAGTTGTTATATAAAAGCACATGGGGGAAATTCTTGGAGCATGAATTAGTTACAAGAAAATATGGGAACGATTTGTTGAGCATTTTTGTTCAATGTTTACGTATCTTTATTTTCACTACCAAATTCCCCCTGTAGGGGGACACGCCGACCTGAACCTAAGGTGGCTTACGTGGGCCATAAGCGTGACACGACGCATTGGAAGCGAGGCCGCTCACGGGCCACCTTGCGCGGGATGCTTCGGCGCCGGGGTCGGAGAAGAGGACCCCGTGCTTCTGCGTCGCTCACATGCTCGCGGCATGAACAAAGACGCGACCGGGGAGGGGGGGAACTGGCCATGCTCGGCCTCCTCCTCTTCCTCCTCCTCGTCCTCCTCCTCCTCCACCTCTAGGGACCCTCCCCTGGTTCCCGGGGAGCCGTCAAAAAACGGCCCGGGATGGACAGCCATCCCCGGCCCTGGAAACAGACGTGACGTCGCATGTCTGGGTGAGTTCCGCCTGCGCAGCAGTGGCCGGGCCTCTGAGAGGCGCCGCGCGAGCCGGGAAGAGGCCTGGACTTCCGAGCCGACGGCCTCGGTGCGCTATGAGGCAAGGCTGGATTTCAACGCTGACTTGTTGTTCGTTTTGTTTTCGTTATGTGTTTCGTGTTGCTCTACCTGGTTTCCTGTACCTCCCTCCCAAAACGGAAGACAAGACACAGCCGAAGTCCAGCAAAACAGCGTTCAGATCCAGCCCTGCTCTGAGTCTGTCTTCTCACTGGACTCAGGCAAGTGTACTTCACAGCATTCCCCCCTTTTCTCCGCCGCCTTCCCGAACAGCGCTGGGCCGAAAGGCATTCAAGTGAGCCCCGACTTGTGCGAAGTCCAGATTTCCTTGCGGGCCTCGCCACGCCCCTACCCCTGTATCTTGCCGAAACCCAAGTTAAAACTGCTTCTATAGCGCACCGGCGCCTTTTCTGTTCAACAAGATCCTAGCCGCCCTGGTCACCACGGTGATCGTGGCGCCCATGGGCCCGATCGATGAACTGAGACAAATTGGGGCGGCCCGTGTCCTGTAGGAGCGGAGCTGCTGCTGCGCGGCCGTGAGCTCCTGCGCGCAGGGCCGGGAATCACGCCCACCAGCAGAACCCGCATCCCCTGAGATGCGGGAGCTGCAGTGTTTTCACAGCAGGCGTTTTCGCCCAGGTTCGGGCCCCAGGGTCATCACAATCACAGTTCGAGCCAGCTCGAACAATGCCGCAGCAAGATTGATCTGGGCCTCTGGTCGTGATTTTCGCGATGCTGCTTTTTCTTGCAATGTCGGATCTGAGGGTGTCAGAACCCCACGGGCGGTGAACTTGGATACGTCTGGGCTCCTGACAAGCCCAAATGATTTTATATTATGTGTATATGTGTGTGTTGGTATATACATGTATGGATGTATAGACTCATATATATAGAGAGAGAGTATATACACATAGAGAGAGAGAGATAGAAACAGATCCGCCTGCCCCCTCCTGGGGCGCAAGGCTGCGAAGGTGTGTGCAGTTTGCTGCCATGTGTTATGTGTTGTCTTTTGTTGTTTGGCCTTTTGTCTCTCCAGTCCTGTTCCTTGCCTCCTTGTTGCTGTCTGGTTTAAGGGGCCCCGCCGCGCCACCAAACAGGCAACCGGGGAACGTGAGTCTCAAATCCAGATTGCTCCGAGCCACCCCGGGATTCTCATGGCGACGCCACCGCGCGGCCAGAACGGCCCGAGAGGCCTCTAAGATTGCCCGAAGAGGCTCCGAAGAGATCCCCAGGAGGCCAAGACGGCCCGAGATGGCCCCAAGATGTCCCACGATGGCCCAAGGACGCTCAAGATGCTCCCAAGACGGCCCAAGAGGCCTGCAAGAGGCTTCCCCAGAGGGCCCCACGAAACAAAATCAACGATGTTCCTAGCGTTTTTGAAGGTTTTGGCCCTTCTCGCCTTTTCGGCTTTCCGACGCTCCGAGGCAGACTAAGAGGTTCCCAAGATCGCCCCACGACTGCCCTAGAAGCCCCCATGACGGCCCAAGATGCCCCCAAGACGGCCCCAAGACGGAGGAAGATGGCCTCAAGACGGTCCAAGAGGCGCCCCAGACGGCCCACAAAGGTTCTAAGACGGTCCCAAGAGAGGCCAAGAGGGAGTCCACGAACCGAAAACGCGACCTTTCCGCCCCGAGAGGGCCCCAGAGGGCCCCAAGAAGGTCCCAAGAGGCCCGAGGCCCCCAATAAGCCCCCGAAAAGCCCCAAGGAGACCTCCAAGAGACCCAAAATGTCGTTTCCAAGAGGCCCCAAGGAGACCCCCAAAAGGCCCCAAGGAGACCCCCATGAGGCCCCCAAGAGGCCCCAAGGAGATTCCCAAGAGACCCCAAGGAGACCCCCGCGCAGCTGCCCAAGAGACCCAAAATGTCGTTTCCAAGAGGCCCCAAGGAAACCCCCAAAAGGCCCCAAAGAGACTCCCGTGAGGCCCCCAAGAGGCCCCAAGGAGATCTCCAATAGAGATCCCAAGGAGACCCCCGCGCAGCCGCCCGCACTAGTAATAGAGGGGGCCGGCGGCAGAGGGCGAAGCCCTTGAAATATCGTTGTCTATATACATGTATGCACATGCTACCAGTTGTCCGTGTGTATATATATATATACACACACTAGAACCATCGCGCGCACTTCGCGCGCGCTCAGGTTCTAGCAGGCCCCAGGCCTTGACGAATTCATTGCTCCACTGAAGTAGTGGACCATAGTCCACGCATGCCATTCTGCATTCCGAAAGGCCTTCGAGGAAAATGGTTGTGTAGGTGGGCGGTGGCCGTATAAATCGGGTGCCCAGAAGGCCTTCTGGGAGCATGGGTTTGGGGGCGTCTTGGGGAGCCTGTTGGGGCGTGCCGTCGTCGTCGTCGTCGTCGTCGTCGTCGTCGTCGTCGCCTATTGGGGCGCGCCGTCGTCGTCGTCGTCGTCGTCGTCGTCGTCGTCGTCGTCGTCGTCGTCGTCGTCGTCGTCGTCGTCGTCGTCGTCGTCGTCGATCGTCGTCGTCGTCGTCGTCGTCGTCGTCGTCGTTTCGTCGTTGTTTCGTCGTCGTCGGTTCAAGAGGGCACTTGGGGCAACTTTGTGCGAAACGATCTGCGGAGGGCCACGAGAAGGCGATCTGTCATGTTCCCAATCAACTTCCCAGACAGCTCTCCTGTAGCATGATGGTACTTCGAAGCCTCCGGAGACTCGCGGGCCCATGATGAACCATGTCCCCGGAAGGCTTTCTGGGGACATGGTTTGTTGGGGTGTGTTGGGGGGTCTCTTGGGCGTTCCCCTGGGGGCCCCTTGGGGGCCTCCGGGAACTCTCGGGCCCATGATGAACCATGTCCGAGGAAGGTTTTCTGGGGACATGATTTCTTGGGGTGTGTTGGGGGGCCTCTTGGGCGTTCCCTGGGAGCCCCTTGGGGGTCTCTTGGGGCTTCCTGGGGGCCTCTTGGGCGCCTCACGGGGCTTCGTGAGAGCCTCTTGGTGGCCTCTGGGGGCCTACAGGCGGCCTCTAGGGCCAGAGACCTCGAAATATCGGTTGGCGGTCCCCCTCTGGGCCCTCTCTTGGGGAGCTCTTGGGGCACAGTTGGATTGTCTGGGGAGCCTGCTGGGCCGTCTTGGAGCCCTCTTCGGGGCCTCGTGGCCCGTCTTGGAGCGATCCGAAGGGCCTCCAAGCGAGGCCGTGAGAGAGCGCTGGGAAGCAGGGAAAGCGAGAACGCCTAAATCCTTCCAAAACCAAAGGAAAATGAATGAATCTTGCCTCCCAGGGCCCTCTTGGGGAGCCTCTTGAGTCCGTCCTGAAGCGTGTTAGAGTCCTGGACGGCCGTCTTGAGGGCAGCTTGGGCGTCTTCGGGGCCTCTTGGGACCGTCTAGGGCCCTCTCGGGACCTTCATTAGCCTGTCGTGGCCTGCTGCGGGGCGGGCCCGGGCCGCCTCGGGACCCCTCTGGGCCTTCTCTTGGCGCGCTCTTGGGGGGCACACTTGGGTTGTCTGGGGAGCATCCTGGGCCGTCTTGGGGCCCTCGTCGGGGCCTCGTGGGCCTTGTTGGAGCGATCTGAAAGACCTCCGAGGCCGCGAGGGGACGCTGGAAAGCGGGGAAAAAACGAGAACGCCAAAATCGAAAACACTCGGAAAACGAGTGGATATTGCCTTTCAGGGCCCTCTTGGGGAGCCTCTTGAGTCCGTCCTGGAGCGTGTTGGAGTCCTCGTCGGATGTCTTGAGGGCATCTTGGGCGTCTTCGGGGCCTCGTGGGACCGTCTTGGGCCCTCTCGGGGCCCCCTTAGCCTGTCATGGCCTGCTTCGGAGCGGGCTCGGGCCGCTTCGGGAGCTCTGGACGCCCCCCGCAACCCCTGGTGGGCACCGATGGGGGGAACAGGCAGCGGCCCGCCCCACCCCCTGGGCCTACTCCGAGATAGAGAATCATGTTCCCGGGAAGCTTTCCGGGAGCATGATTCGTTCGGCTCTCTGAGAGGAAGGCCTCTGGAGGCTTACCGAGGGGCGCCTTTTGGCCTTGTCGCCAAGCCTATTGGAAACATGGTTGGGGCGGTGGGCGGAAGCCCAAGGAATCATGCTCCCAGAAAGCACTCTGGGAAATACGATTTACCGAAGTGTCTTGGGGGCCCGCAGGGGGCTTCCCTGGGTCCTTTGGGGGCCTATTGGGGCTTCCGGGGGGCCTCTTGGGAGCCTCACGGGGCTCCCTGGGAGCCTCTTGATGGCTCCTGGGGGCGTCCTAGGAGCCTTTCAGAAATGTCGTGCTCTTCGGGCCATCTTGGGTCGCTCTTGGGGTTCTCTTGGGGCGCTCTCGAAGCCCTCTTGACTTATCTGGGGAGCCTCCTGGGCCATCTCTGGGCTTTCTTGGGAGCATCTTCGGCCGTCTTGGAGCGATCTGAAGGGCCTCTGACGCGGTCTGGGACCGTGGGGAGGCGGAACATGGGAGAGCGCAAGAATGCTTCAAAAACCATTGGAAAATGTATGATGTTCGGCTTCTGGGGCCCTTTGGAGGGGCTTCTGGAGGCGCTCTTGGGGCGTTTTGGCGGAGTCGTCGGCCGCGTCCTGGGGCCATCTTCGGCGTCTCCGGGGCCTGACATCATGTTCCCGGAGAGGCTTCCGGGAACGTGATTTCGAACGAAGCCCTCTTGGGCCTCCCTGAGGCCGTCTTGGGGGCCCCCTGGGCCAACTTCAGGGCCACTTGAACCGTCTTGGGGGGGGTCCGTGAGCCCCACAGGACGACCCTTTCGGGCCGTCTTGGGCCCTCTTGGGTCTCTCTTGGGCCGTCTTGGGGCTCCTCGGGGGCGTCTGGGGCACTGCGAAGACGAAGCAAGCGAGTGTGCTGAACATGTATGTTTTACGAAGGGAATGTCTTGTGAGGCTCTTGGGCGTCTTCAAGCCGTCTCGGGCCCTCTTGGGCCTCGCTGAGGCTGTCTTGTGGGCCTCTTGGGCGTCCTCCGAACCGGGAAATCATGTTCCTGGAGAGGCTTCCGGGAACATGATTTCGAACGAGGCCCTCTTGGGCCTCCCTGAGGCCGTCTTGGGGGCCTCCTGGGCCAACTTCGGGGCCTCTTGGGCCGTCTTGGGGGGGTCCGTGAGCCCCACAGGACGACCCTTTTGGGCCGTGGGCCCTCTTGGGTCTCTCTTGGGCCCTCTTGGGTCTCTCTTGGGCTGTGTTGGGGCTCCGCGGGGGCGTCTGGGGCACTGTGAAGACGAAGGCAGCGCGTACGCTGAACATGTACGTTTTGCAAAGGGAATGGGCCGATTTGTGCCTCTTGAAGGCCCTCTTGGGGCCCTCGTCGGCCATCTTCAAGCCATCTCGGGCCCTCTTGGGGCGCTCTTGGGCGTCTTCGGGGCCTCTTGAGGCTTTCTTGACCATCTGTGCGGCCCGCGTGGCCTGCCAAGGGCAATTTGGGAGCGGCCCGGGGCAGTCCCAGGGGGTCTGTGACCCCCCAAAGGTTCGGGAGGGCGCCCATGGGGGATGATGGCACTGGTTTTAGCCCCCCCCAGCCTACTACGATATGTATATATATATATATATACACACATACATAATATATACATATATATATATAACCAAATATCAAAATCCAACCACCAGAAACCAGTTTCCACAATTTGAAACCCCCAGATGCCTGAGCCCATTCCCGAGGACCAACTCTTCTTCCCAACTGTCCCTTCCGAGGCCCGCCTTTCGGACAGAGCCCGAAACACACAAAGAGCATCCGATCTGGTCGTGCATGTCTCTTCGGGGCGCCAGGGGGGGTCGGAACTAGTTGTCAAACGTATCCACAGACCCCCGCTGGGGCCGAAGCGCGCCAGGTTTCCGAGCTGCCGCCGTGGCGACGAGGAGGGATGTCTGAGCCTCGACCGATGGGATTTTTGGTTGCACGGCGCGAGGCGGTGGACATGGTTGAAATCCCAGCCTCTCGGCTCCTGGCCGCTGCTCGCGAGGTCGGGAGCGGCTCGAGGAGGAGGGCGCGTAGGGGTGAGGAGGAGGAGGAGGAAGAGGAGGAGGAGGAGGAGGAGGAGGAGGAGACGGAGAGGAGAGGAGAGGAGGAGAGGGGGCGGAGAGGAGGAGAGAGGAGATGGGGAGGAGAGAAGGATGGAGGAGGAGAGGCGGAGAAGGAGGAGGGAGGAGGAAGAGGAGGACGAGGAGAGGAGTGAGAGGTGGCAGAGGAAGGAGAGGGCGGAGGGGGAGGAGAAAGATGAAGGGGGGAGGAAGAAGGAGGAAGGGAGAGAGGAGGAGAGAGGAGGGAAGAGGAGGAGGAAGGAGAAGGAGAAAGAGAAGAGGAGGAGGAGAGAGGAGGGGAGGAGAGGATCAGAGAGGAGGAGGAGGAGGACGAGAGGAGGAGGAGGATGAGGATGAGTAGGAGGAGGGGGAGGGGAGGAAGAGGAGGAGGAGGAGGAGAATGATGAGGAGGAGGAGGAGGATGAGGGGGGAAGGATGAGAGGAAGGAGGAGGAGGAGGAGCAGGAGGAGGAGGGGGAGAGAGGAGGGGAGGAGGAGGAGGAGGTAGGGGAGGAGGGCGGAGGAGGAGGATGAGGGTTTAGGAGGAGGAGGGGGAGGTGGCGGATGATGCATGAGTAGGGGAGGATGAGGAGTATAGGGAATTAGTTTTGTAGGGTAGGAATTCGTAGGAGTGCGTCGGAGATGGATGAGGAGATGGATGAGGAGGAGAAGCAGTAGGAGGAGGAGGGGGCGCGGGGAGGCGGGGAGCGCCCCAACCGTGAGGGGTTGCAGGTGCCGCACGCGTCGCCCGCCCTCCGCTCTCTCCTCCCCTCCTCCTCCTTCCCTCCTCCTCCTCCTCCTCCTCCTCCTGCTCCTCCCTCTCCTCACTCCTCTGCTACTGCCCTTTCTGACCTGCTTTCCTGTACTGCCTCTCCTCCTCCTCATCCTCCTCCTCCTCCTCCTCCTCCTCCTCCTCCTCCTCCCTCCTCCTCCCCCTCCTCCCCCCCGTGCGCCCCTCCGCGCTCCCGCTCCTTCTCCAGCGCCTCGCGGACGGCGATCTGCTCCTGGAGCTTGGCCTGCCGCGCGACGGCCATAGCGCTCTGCTCGTCTGCGTGCCGCTGCACGTACCTGCAGCCATCGCGCGACCATGCTTAGGGCGGGCCTGTCCCCCCAGAGGGGGATTTTGGACGAAACTTTAAACTTGTCTCAAAAAATACTCCTCTAAATTTCAAACACACTTAAAAAATCGTTCCCAAACTATTTTTGGACTGTGTTTGAATGTTCCTCCTGTACAAGGACAGGCCCGACTTAAGACCATGGCCAAATCACAGTCGCAACCGATGAGATCGGTCCCTACCGATCTTGCCTCGAATTCCGGTATCGGTCGAGACGAGCCTCGCAATCGGATTCCCCGCCCAGATCTAGGAACCGGCCCCAAAAGAAGAGCCCCTCCTGAGCCCGAAAGGGTCCTGATCTGTGACAGTCTTGACAGTAGTACTCCGACGTCGTCAATTTTGTTCACAAGACGGGCCCCTGGAGGCCTGGATCTTTTCCCCAGCACCACCTTCCCAGACCCCCTTGCGTCGTGAAGAAACTACGGATGTCTATTTGGCCTCTGGGGGACCCCAGGTCGTCGTGAAAAGACACGTCGTGAATTTTCGGCCTCTGGGGGAGCCCGGGACTGTCAAAAAACGACTCTGGACGAAACGCGGGTCCTGAGAAACGGGTCGAGACCTCGGGGTGATATCACGGCGCCAGGGGTCCGTTCAATCTGGGTCGTTGCTTGACGGTCCTGGGGCCCATCAGGGGTCCCCGGATGCCGAGAACGGCACGAAACCTCCCGTCAGCGAGAGGAGGCGGGGGCACTCCAGGTGCCCGCGCAGCATGTCGCCGTTGCTGCGGGCGGCGGTGAGCTCACCCCTCACGCGCTCCAGCATGGCGTCCCGCTCGCTGAGCCGGTGCCTCAGCGCGCTCCGTTCGTCTGTGAACTCCCTGACCGCGGTCGTGAGCTCGAACTTCATCAGACGCCTGGCCGCGTCCTGCTCCTGCTCGCCGGCCGCGTACGCCAGCTGGTGGGCCCGTTGCCGCCACACGCTCGCCTCGAACTCCGCGCAGCTCCTCGCGCGGTCCAGGTGCATCACGGCGGAGCCGAGCTCCTCGCCCTGCAGCTTCACCACGGCGCCGCCCGCGGCGTACCCGGCGCCGAGCTGCCAGTCCTCCATCCTTGAAGGACGAGAGAGGTCGGAGTATGAGCGGAAGCTTTCGGAGGTCCGCGCGGATGTCCTGGATCTGTACTGGCGCACCCTGCCGGGCGCGCGGAGCGCGCCCAGAGATCCAAGACATCCACGCGCAGCTCCCGCATGCTCATGCTCCCATGCCGGTGCTCCCGCTCCGAGTCCTGGGGTACTTGCCCCAGTCCGAGTACCGCAGCATCTCCTGGTCGAGGGCCTCTTGGGGGGCGGAAAGATACGGATACGTGTTGTCCCCGGACCTCTCTTGGGGTGCGTTCTGACCAGAATTTCGAGGCGAATCCAGCGGTGACAACGAGGATTCCCCAGGAGGACCAGGAAAGGCCGAAAACGAAGGGGGACAACACGTATCCGTATCTTTTCGTCCCCCGAGCCTCGACGGTCTTCATCAAGGTCACGCACTCCACCAGGAGCCTCGTGCGCTCCTCGGCCTGGCGCAGGGCGACTCTCGCCATGTGCTCGCTCGCGTAGAAGGCGCCGCGGGGGCCGGCGCCGCTCTGCCAGCGGGGCTCCGCCGCGGCCTCAAGGTGCGGCTTCGGGCAGCCCCCCCCCCCGGTAGGCCCAGCTGGTGTCAGCAGGCTCCCCGCGTAGCCCAGGGCCGTGGCAACGCCCCGGCGCAGCCTCCCGCGGCGCCCCCGGGGCGCCGAGCGCACCAGGGTGGAGCTGCTGGGGGACCGCCCTGTGGTGCTCCGGGGGGCCTGCGGAGGCCTGCCGGGGCTGCCTCGGGTGGGCTCTCGGCGTGCGCCACCAGGAGCCGTACCAAGCTTTCGTGGGCAAATCACGGGAGGCTTCCATTCAATCTTGCCGGCTCTTGCGAGTCGACGCGAACGACGCTCATCGACGCAAACATCAACCCCGATCGACGCTTCATCTACGCTACTCGACGCTAAATCGGCGCTCTCCCATCGTTTACCAGTCACCAGTGCACGCTACTGCACTCTTAAGACATGATTTCGATGACATGCACGACTCCCGCCATTTGCTGCCGAACCAGCGGCCTTCGTGACGCGAATGGTTCCGTCGGGATTTTTCGCGAGCTGGATGGTCGTTTCCTGGCCGCTCGTCAGCTGGATGCTCACCCCGTTCGGCTGCGGCTGGTCCTGGCCTCGTGGCGACATGGACACGGACATGGCGGCGGAGGCCACGGGGGGCGCACTCGTGGGCGCCTATGCGTACGCGCGCAACCCGCGCGGCTGCCCACCGCCCCCTCTGAGCCAGAATTTGCAGCCGAAAAACCAAATGCGGACCCAAGGCTTCTCGAACAGGTCGGAGCGTCGTCCTCCTCCTCCTCCTCCTCCTCCTCCTCCTCCTCCTCCTCCTCCTCCTCCTCGTTCTACCCATCAAACGACCGCGCAACATCTCCACGGGCACGTTTTGACGAGAACCTCGAAGGATAATCCAGGCGTGGCGGAGAAGGCCTTTTTGAAGCCCAAAAACCAAAAGGACCCCCAAACGCCCCAAAACTTCAACCATCGAGACTCGAACCCGGGGAGGAGGACGCCGCCAACTACGCTAAGACGGAACCAGAAGGAGGATAACATCGGATGAGGATAAATCGAGAGTCTCTGGGATGCGGTGGCTCTGGCAGATGTATCGGACAACGCGGCCTTATCAAAGCGCTCTGAGAGCGTTCCGGAAAGCTCTCGAACGGATCCATCGTCGCCCTAACCCCGTACGAAGGACGCCGACTACGCCCCTGCACCGACCCTGGCTGGGCCCGGCCTGGGCTTCAGGATCGGTGCGCACGTCCTCCTGGCTTGGCCAGACAGGCGTGCACACCAGTCCTGGGCTCAGGTCGGGCGTGTCCTCATAGAGTCGGATTTGGGAGGAAACATGGTAATTACGCTACCGAGGAACCCTACATACCTATTGTATTTCCCATGTGTACCATCGGTGCTTCTGCTGCTGCTCCTCCTTCTCCTCCTCGGTGTCCTCCTCCTGCTGCTGCTTCTGCTGCTGCTGCTTCTGCTGCTGCTGCTGCGTCTGCTGCTGCAGCTGCTGCTGCTGATGCCGCTGCTGCTGCCCCACCTCCCCGTCCTCCTCCTCCTCCTCCTCCTCCTCCTCCTCCTCCTCCTCCTCCTCCTCCTCCTCCTCTACCTCCTCCTCCTCCCACCTCCCAGCGCACCCACCCTGTGGCGTCGACCCCCTGTGGCGTCGAGGAATGCCACGCCTGCCACGCCCTGGGAGCCTACAACGCGCAGGGCCCCCACCCCCAGCGCACCCCCTGTGGCGTCGAGGAAATGCCACGCCTGCCACGCCCTGGGAGCCTACAACGCATAGGGCCCCCACCTCCCAGCGCACCCCCTGTGGCGTCGAGGAAATGCCACGCCTGCCACGCCCTGGGAGCCTACAACGCATAGGGCCCCCACCCCCAGCGCACCCCCTGTGGCGTCGAAGGAATGCCCTGTGTGCTATGCTGTGCTGTGCTGTGCTGTGCTGCTGTGCGGTGAGCTTTGCCGTGCTGTGCCGTGCCGTGCTGTGCTGTGCTGTGCTGTGCTGAGTTGAGCTGAGCTGAGCTGTGCTCAGCTGTGCCGTGCTGAGCTGAGCTGAGCTGTGCTGAGCAGTGCTGTGAGGAGGAGAGGAACGAGTGAGGTGTGTGAGAGAGAGACGGAGAGGGAGGTGTGAGGTGTGAGTGTCGCGGGTGCGGCGCGGCAGGGAAGAAAACCAGAACCCCACGAAGCATGTGGGGAAAAAAAGCTAACTCAGACAGGCACCGACAGGCAGCCAGGAAGGACGCATCGACGCAACGCGGCGACCGAACACGACCGACCACGAACGAACGCCACCGACGGCTACGCGGCCGAGCCGATCGGTTCGCGGCCACCCTCTTGGGACCACGATCGGCCCGGCCAGGGCAGGTCCTGCCGCGGCCCTAGAACTTCCCGCCCCGTCCCCAGGGGTGTAGCTCTGGTTCCTTAGTGGAACGAAGGATGACATACACACAACAACTCGGAGGTCCGCGGGTATTTCTCGGAGCCACGCTGGACCCCCCTGGCGGCCAGGGGTGTAGTTCTGGTTCCATATAACGGAAAAAAGAATGGCATACCCCAAAAAACTCGGAGGTCCGCGGGGATTTCTGGGAGCCACGCTGGACCCCCCTGGCGGCGCCTCCGGCGCCACCCCTGGCGGGCCCAGCGCGGATCCGAAAAATCCGCGCGGACCTCCGAGCTTTGATGTTCATGTCATGTTTCGTTCCCCGATTGAAAGCCCTGGAACCCAGCAACAACGGGCCCCCGGCAGGGGCCGATAAAGCGAGGCAGCCCGCCCGCGGTGAGCAAAATCATGGGCGTCGGCCCGGATCGCCCACGCCCGGAAAATTGGTCGCGGCCGATCCTGCCGGCTCAGCGTTTTGGTCGCGGCCAGTTTCCTTGACCGATCCACCGCGACCGAACAGCAGGATTGACCGCGACCAGGAATACAGCTCGCGACCGGTCGCGAGTATAGTCGCCGCTGGCCCTCGCGACTGAAATCTGGGACCGGTCGCGACCCTCAAAGACCGAATAGTGGGGACCTGTCGCGACAGTACCCAGACCCCCGACGCCATGATTTTGAGACCGTCGACCCCCGAGGTCTCGACACGTTCCCCAGGACCGGTCCTTCATCCCGAGTCGATGTTGGACGGCCCCGCGGCCCGGCCAGGGCCCCCAGAGGTCGAAAAAGGCGAGGGACCTACCGTCACCATGTTTCCCTTCCTATCGAGGGGGTCTGGGCTCGGAGACCCCCGTCGCGATGGCATTGAGTCGGGTGTGTCCCCCTACAGGGGGATTTCGACGAAAATCCCAAGAAATACCCCAAACATATCCCAAAGTGACCCAAAAATGTTGAAGAAATAGTCCCACGATTATTTCTTTTCTGCTTTTGAGTATTCCCCCTGCAGAGGGACAGGCCCGACTTAACGACAGCACGAGCACCGCCACTCGACAGAGGGCAGCGCCCAGGAGGGGGGTGTCCAAGAGGGGGGTGCAAATCATGACCGGCGGCATGTGCGCGGCCCAGCGGGGGGGCCAGGGACGTCATGAAATAAGATGAGGCGCCATGAAATATGAGGAAATATCATGGCCCCCGTGATATCCCCCCCCCCCCCCCCTAGTCATCACCCCCCTCTTTGCCGCCCCCGACCCTTGGATTTGGGGTCATAACTCGGGTCTCTGGCGGCCGTTCCAGACGATCCGGGCATCCCCGGAACGCTCTCGGCGAGGCGCAGCCGCTGGAACGCATCCCGAGGGTGAAGAATCGCCAAGAACCGACGAAGCCGCCCGAAAACCGCCCGAAACCGCCCGAAAACCGCCCGACGAAACCGCCCGAAAACCGCCCCATCTTTCCCTCTTTTCCGCCCCCGAGACAGAGAGAGGGCAGCGCCCAGCGCCGCCTGCGCCGGGGCCGGCCCCGCCTGCGCAGCGGCCAGGCCGCCGTGCTCGCCCGGGCCCGCCGGGAGGCTGGCCGAGCCGCCGGGCTGGCTGAGGCTGGCCGAGCCGCCGTGCGAGGCGGCGTCCTGCCGGCCCGCTCCAGTGGAGGAGAGAAAGAACTATGCACGAGGAGGAGGAGGAGGAGGAGAAGGAGGAGGAGGAGGAGGAGGAGGAGGAGGAGGAGGATGGAGGAGGATGGAGGAGGTCGTGGAGGAGGAGGAGGAGGAGGCTCGTTCCTTTACAGGAGAGAACTATGCACACACACACACACACACCGATGCTGGCCAGGCCCATGCTGACCCCAGGATCGGTGCATAATACGCCCTCCTACCTTGGCCAGGAGGGCCTATGCACCGATCCTGGGTCGAGGATGGGCCTTGCCAGGATCGGTGCATGTGCACAGTTCTCTTCGCCCGATTCTGGGGATTGACGTATGCTCCCACAGCTTCTGCAAACCGCTGAATTTAGCAAAGGCCATTCCGAGCCGTCTGGCGAGGTCCCCGCCAACCCTCCCGTCGTTGCTAATCAATGTCCCCAGGTGCGCGAGCGTGTCAGTCGCTTGCACTTTGCCACGGCTATGGACCAAGAGCGCTAACGTAAGTGGTAGTAGATGAATTCACCGCATATCAATTATAATATATATATATATAATATCACGTTGCGATTGGGATATAACCACCAGCCCCTTAACACCCTGGCGTCTCCATTTTTCCGAGCCCAGGCCCCCTCGGGTAAGGAACAAATCCTGACAAGAGGTGTGTCGCCATTTTCAAAACTCGCTCGGGCCAGGAGGGCCTATGCACCGATGCCTGGGTCGAGGATGGGCCTTGCCAGGATCGGTGCATGTGCATAGTTCTCTTCGCCCGACCCAGGCCCCCAACCCCCAGCCCCTTAACACCCTGGCGTCTCCATTTTTCCGAGCCCAGACCCCCTCGAGTAAGGAACAAATCCTGACGGGAGGTGTGTCGCCATTTTCAAAAATCGCTCGGGGCCCTTATAGCGGGCCACGGGGCCGTCAAAAAACGGCTTGGGATGAGAACTCGGTCCCGGGGCATGGGGCGAGACCCTCGGGGGTCGACGTCATGAGAAAAAATCATGACGTCGGGGGTCTGGGAGCGGGGCGCCTTCTCCGGGGCTCGGCCCCCCAGGACTATCACAGATCGTGTTAGCTTGAGAATCGCAGGACGATGGGGCCTGTGGCTCCGGCCACGAAGCGCTGTACTGAGTGTGTGAACATGCCAAATTGGATGCTTCGGGACGCATGCGGACAGTGGCACTGATGCTCCCGGTGGGGCTCCCCATGGGGCCACGAAGCGCTGTACTGAGTGGGTGAAAGTGCCAAATTGGATGTTTCGGGACGCATGCGGACGGTGGCACTTGGGCCTTCGGTGGAGCTTCCTATGGAGCCACGAAGCGTTGTACTGAGTGGGTGAAAATGCCAGATTGGATGCTTCAGGACGCATGCGGACGGTGGCACTGGGGCCTTCGGTGGAGCTCCCTATGGGGCCACGAAGCGCTGTACTGAGCGGGTGAAAATGCCAAATGGGATGTTTCGGGACGCATGCGGACGGTGGCACTGGGGCCTTCGCGGGGCCACGAAACAGTGTACCGCGTGGGTGAAAATGTCAGATTGGATGTTTCGGGGCGCATGTGGACGGTGGCACTGGGGCCTTCAGTGGAAAGGTTTCGGAACGCATGCGGACGGTGGCACTGGGGCCTTCGGCGGAGCTCCCTATGGGCCACGAAACGCTGTACTGAGTGTGTGAAAATGCCAAATTGGATGTTTTGGGGCGCATGCGGACGGTGGC